ATGGAAGTGCCTAGAGTCTGTAGGGAGGGACACAGACACTGTGATTAGGTCTCTCCTCCATCCTTGCCACTCTGGGACGTCATGCTTACACTCAGGAAATGAATGAAGGACAGAAAAGTCAAACCCCTTTTCTCCTGTTTTTTTCTTTCCTAAGAGTAGAATGGAATGCTTTTCCCTTTCAAGGAAACAGAGAAACCTGGCATTTGTTTCCTACGTAAGAAAGTAACTGTGTTCTCAGACCTTTCGTGTTAAGATTTGATGGGAAGATTCAAGGTCGTTCCAGATTAGCGACCTTGTTTTGGGTGGTAGGCGCTGTGGTTTGAGACAAGTCTGTCACATGTGAAAGCAGAGTTGATGTGAACACACCTACTCAAAGCGAGACAACTAGGCTCCATGAGGAAGTGAAACATTGGTTACTTTCAATTGTCTGCTTGACACAATCTAGAGTCACCAAGGAGCAGAGTCTCAATGAAGAATTGTCTATATTGGTTTGGCCTGTGGGCAAGTCTGTTGGGGATAGTCTTAAACTAACCAGTGTGAGAAGATGCAACCCCATGGGTAATCTCATCTCCTAGGCAGGGAGTCCTGACATGTACAATAGTGGAAAAATCGAGTTTAGCAGAAGTGGGGGGAGCTAGCATGTATGCATTTGTGCATTTCTCTCTGCTCTTGACTTGGCTGTGAAATGACTAGTTGTTGCAAGTTCCTGATACCCCAGCTTCCCTGTAACAGTGGTCTGTAACCTGGGGTGGGGAGCTAAAATAAACTCCTCTCTCCCCAAAGCTTATTTTTGTCAGGGTGTTCTATCACAACCACAGGAAGGAAACAAGGATTAGTGAGAAACCAGTTGTCAAACTGGACTGAAAACTAGTGAGAAGGATAAGTTTTTTTTAAAAAAAAGTATGTTTCTGTTTTGTTAGGGAGAATAAAGAAGAATCAGTCAGAACACTTGGCTGATGGGAAGATGTTAATTTAAGTGAACATGGTGCATCACAGAGGATGACAGACATAAATCCAAAGAGATGATATCACA